GCTAACATTCATTAAAAGCTTCAGGAAATTTTTGTAACTTAGGAATTAGTATTATTAGAGATTTAGAGGTCACCTGATGTATTTATTCATTTGTCTGTCTTACACAGATCTAATCATTCCTTTATTTATCCAATATTTATTGAGTGTAACTATGAACCAGGCAACAATGGTAAAAATAAAATAACAAACAACAAAACAACAAACGATATTCTTTGGATGAATTCCATGCCAAGTATTTTATATTTTAAGCACTTTTTATTAATTATTTAGTCCTCAGAACTATCCTATGGAGAAGGTCCTATTACCACTTTCACATTTATGGAGTGAAGATGCTGAGGATACAGCTTATAAGTGAGGTGCAAGTTGAGAATCGAAAAAGATAGAAACTTTGCCTCCCCAAAGAATATATACCCCAGCAAAGAAGAAAAACAGGCAAATAAATAATTGGAAAATAAACTATATAATTGTGCTAATTGCTGCACTGTACCATCTCCCCTGCCACCATAGTGATTAACTTTGACTAGAGGCATTAAAACACGGTATCCCACTTAAGTTGCATCTGGAAGGATGATTTTAACATATCACTTAGTAGACAAGGCAGAAAGAATCATCTAGATTGAAATGCTAATTCATGGCTTATGGAGAAAAATGTGAGTAGTTCAGAATAGCTAAATTGTGAGGAAAAGCTGGAGCTAGTGAAATCCAACGGGTGTCAGTCATTAAAGGTCTTGAATATTGCAGAGTTTTAGAGTTTTATACACCAGACAAAGAATAAGAACTTTTGGAGATTTATAACCAGAGAAGTGACATGATATAATTTACACTGTAAATGGATTCAGAGGAAAGAAGCCGAGGACAGGGGAAACATCCTAGGAGAAACTTGTGTTAATCTGAATAAGACATGATAAAGAACAGATTGGTGGTTGTTGAATTAAAAGTAGAAATGAGGAGGCAAATGTAACTGATATTTACAAGTTAAAATTTTTATTACACGGTCAGTCAGAAGAAAAATTGAAAGTGGAATCCAAAGAGAAGCAGAATCAAGAGACTATGAGGAAAAAAATTATTGGTCATGTTTGATTTTGTATTCTAATTAAGGCTCAGCTCCAACCCCTGCCTCTGTGACTTGGTTACATAAATTCCCCTTTTGTTCTATGCTAGTTCATATTGGATTGTTGGCATTTGTAGCAAAAAATATTTTTGACTAGTATACTCAGGAACCACAAACATTTAAATTTTGGGAAGTAGAAGAGACAATCCAATACAAGATCTGACCCCTTTGTTGTGGATGAATGAAGCTAAATATTCAGATGAACAAATCATTCTGCTTTCAAGGCTTAAAAATATTGTGCCCGTATGCATCTTTTGATATCACAGAGACCTAGAGATGCAGATTCTTAATCAAAACTTGTTCCATTGCATAAAAGAGAGATGAAGAACAGATTCTAAAAGATTTTCACTGCAATTCATACTATAAATTGAGGAGCTGTGATTGATATTGCAGTGAACTAGATTAAAAAGTGAGCAAAATTTGTGAAATATTGAAGCAATAGAAATCATTTAGCATGAAGAAAGACAAGCCAGAACAGAAAATTACTGTTTTGAATTATTGGAAATGCTCTGAAATGGAGCTCCATGACAAATGCTTCTTTCTTTCTACCAAAAAGAGAGCAAGAGGAAATGGATTCAAGTTGAAGCCGGATCTATTTAGGTGAATTATACTAGAGAGCTTCCTGACCTTGAAGGCTATTTGGCATAGGGATGGATTCCAGGTCAAGGAATCCCTTTCTCCAGAGAAAGAATCAGAAGGATGAAGGGGATTTAGGAAGTATTTAGGCATATGAAAATTGATCTCCTTCCCTTGAGGAAGTATTGCCATGACTTCACTCCAGTGTCTAATGTCTCACTCGTTACTCATGTCTAGCTTGGTGTTATAGTTACAAACCATTTCCTTATTTTCTCTTCCAGGTTGAGACAGAGAATAGTTAGCCAGGACCTATAAAATTCTTAGTTACCCTAAGGATCCGTATTAAATCAGCGTTCACATACTCTTTGGAAGGTTAAATAAGCCCCTTTTGTAGTATTTACTTATAAACATTACCTCCCAATCTTTTAATTGTCATTGTGTTTATGTGTATATTAGCTGTCTACATCTTAGCTTGTACCATCTTTTTTTTTAAGATTTTCGTATCTGTCTGTAGTTTGGAGACCTAACCTGAATACAATTATTTAATATGAATTTTAAATGCTGAATATTGTATACCAGTTTCTTCTAAGTTTGTAAACAGTTTTACTCCTGTTCACATGATTCAACATCCTACACTTTTTAATTTTTTAAAACAGCAATAACATGAATTGTGTATACTTAATTTAGTTGCTCCATTTGTTTTCTTCTTTCACCTAGTTTTCTCTTCAGTCCCTAATGCAATCCAGGCATACAGTTAAACACATAAAGTGTAAAGCATCATGAAGCATGAAAGAATGAATCAATCTCTAATGCATACAATTTATATAGGTGTTTGTGAGTTGTTGAAAAGATACAATTAGATAATTTATGTTATAGTTCTTTATAACTTGAATGCACTCTTCTCTTGCATCAAGATCATATGAATACAATTTGAATATTAAAATATATTCAAATATTCAGTGTTCAATATTTAACTTGTAGTTCATAATAATTTTGAAATTTTTTGTTTTTGACAGTATGTACATTCAAGAGCTACATTTTCTAATTTGTTTATTGTTAGTTCTTAAAAGCATATATATGCTTATGGCAAAAAATAGTATTTTTTGAAACAGTATAATAAAAGTAAATGTCTCCTACCACCCCCCCCGACTCCCAGTACCAGTCATTTTCCAGACGTAACCATTGTCAATAATTCTTTTCCTGTGTTACACAAATGGTGTTATATCGTATATATTATTTACTACCTTGTTTTTTCAGTTTTTCTCCATTGTGTATGGTAGCTTAGTATATATACAGACTCTGACCACTTCTAATCCTCTTCTGCCATCATCCCATCCCAAACCATCATTGCTTGTGAATTATTGCAATTGTCTTCTAATTTGTTTCCTTGCTTCCACTTTGCCCCCCACCCCCAGTTTCTTCTCCTCAAAGCAGGCAGAATGGTCTGTTAAAAACATAAGACAGATCCCGTTGTTTACTTGTGTTCACCCTCTCAGGGTTAAAGCCAAATCCTTAGAGTAAGCAGCCCAGGAGCCCTCTGTGCTTGACTTTCTACAACTTCCGTGGCATTATCCTAATGTCTTTATTGTTATCCCACAACTTCTCTCAGTCAGCCCAGCCTTCCTAATTTCCTGAAATAGGCCGGGCATAATTCTTTCACATCTATGCCCTGCTGTTTTAGCTGCTCAGGGTACTCTTCCTTCAAATGTCAACAAAGCGAATTCTCATTTCCTTCTCATCAGAGTGCAGATGTCACCTTTCCAGCAGGGACTTGATTAATGGCAATACAAGGCTGTGTAGACATCAGCTCCCTTCACTCATATTGGGTTCTCCCCTCTCTGTTCTGGCACAGGGTGTGGGGGACAGGGTAATTACATTTCCACTCTAAGAGTCGTGAGACCATGTGACTTCCTTAGATCAATACAGTGTAAACAGGAGCTGTGATTGATATTGTAACAAACTAGATTAAAAAGTGGAAGCAGGCCGGGCACGGGGGCTCATGCCTGTAGTCCCAGCACTTTGGGAGGCTGAGGCGGGTGGATCACGAGGTCAAGAGATCGAGACCATCCTGGTCAACATGGTGAAACCCCGTCTCTACTAAAAAATACAAAACATTAGCTGGGCATGGTGGCGCGTGCCTATAATCTCAGCGACTCAGGAGGCTGAGGCAGGAGAATTGCCTGAGCCCAGGGGGCGGAGGCTGCGGTGAGCCGAGATCGCGCCATTGCACTCCAGCCTCGGTAACAAGGGCGAAACTCCGTCTTAAAAAAAAAAAAAAGTGGAAGCATTTAAAAGTTAGTGGGTGATTCTCCATGACCCCTCCTGGCTTGACACCTGCTGGAGACACCGCCACGTGGATGCCTGAGTGATCACTGCCTAAAAATATAGCTTTACACATAAAAAGCACTGGATGAGGGTGTGAATGAATGGTATTCATTCTGCTTTATACAAAAAAAGATTTTGGGGTTTGTTATCAGAGTTTAACCTAGTTTACCCTGGCTTATGTGTTGTCACCTTTCTTCTCCACTTTCCTTAAGCTCTTTATGATTCTCCAAAGCACTTACACTATCTGACGTGTTTTTTTTTTATAGTCTGTGTATACCTCTTACAGGACAGGAACTTTGTTTTTTCGCTATTGTATCCCAGTATTTAGAAAAGTACCTGGAATATAGTAGGCACTTCATTAGTTATTTGATGATTCAATAAATGAATTCTGAAACAACATAGTATGATCGTTCTGCATCAGCAGGTGGAAGGTCTACCTTATTTGTTTCTCAGTTGTATGAATGTGTTGTAGATTGTATGGATAGGTACAGATTACTATGGTATTATTTATATTTTTGTCTTTATATTAAAACAGGCTATAACAGAATATTTTAAACTATTTTCCCACAATTTTGTGAAATTATATCTGTAGAATAAATATCAAAAGCATTTAGAATCAAGGTAGACGTTAGTTTTTATTTAAAATTTTTATTTTCTTGTATATTGCCAAATTGCTGTGAAAGAGACTGAAGCAAACTAGAGGACATGACTGTGTAAGAGTATGAATAGAGTTCATGAGATTGAATAGCCCAGAGGAAGAAATATTTGTAATATTTAAAGTTTGTCAAGGGGACTTGACATTGAAGTTTGGAGTAAACTGGAAAATCTGAGGAAAATATGTCTCTCTCTCTCTCTGTCTGTGTGTGTGTGTATAAAGGTGTTGATTCTACACATCCATATGAATGTGCCTGATTTTGCCATTCTCTTCTTCATTAAAAATGCATGTAGAATCTAGTTTAGTTTGTGATTCTGATCAGTGTTTGTCAAATGTTGCTCTGTCGAACATGATTTGCATGGATACCCCTGAGGCCATGCAAAAAGGTCACGCTGAGAAAGGTTGAGACTCTTAGTCATTCAGAAAGTAGGTTATTACCCTGTTGCATAAAAGTCATAAGGTATATTTTATATGCCCACCCCAGCTTAGATAGATTTAACTGTTTTACTCGTTCTGAGAAATAAGAACACCCCAATATGTAAAACAGCAAACAGTAAGTGATTTGCCTAAACCCACACAGGAAGTCACCAGTATGCAAGAATAGAATCCAAAGTTCCTGGTTCCCTGTCCTTTGCTAATCTCACTAAATAATTTGTCAAAACACTTCAAAGTCTTTCTTCCAAAGTCAACTGAAAACTTTTCATGAAATTCACCTTCTAAATGAAGACTATATTAAAAAGTGTTGCTAGAAAACAAATATTGCGATTTTATATTGCAGTGCTACTATTTGCAAGTGCCAGCCTCTTAATCTGTGTTTCCATTCCTTCCGCTCTCTGCCGTACCCTTGGGGCAAGGTAGGGAAGGAGCTATGTAAAGAGAGAGACCTAGTGAGTCTGTCTTGGACACCATTCCATCTGCTCTTCTGTCCCAGTGCCTGGAGACATCAAAATATTAGTCATGTAGTCAATGAGCAAGTGAAACAAAAAAGGTACGTTTAAAAATAATGCTGGGAGGAGAGGAAAATTGGGAATGAACGCTTGATGGCTATGAGATTTTCCTTTGGGGTAATGAAAAAGTTCCAGAACTAGATGTTGGTGATGCTTGCACAAAATTGTGAATTTAATGCCACTAAATTGTATATTTTAGAATAAATATAATGGTAAATTTTATGTTACATGTATGTTACCACAATAAAAAAATACTAAGAAAAAAATTCCATTAAAATTATTTGCTTCTTACCTCCTCTCTGAGAAACAAAATTTCGTCTGCTAATAAGCATCCTTTTTGAGTATTAGCTATTACTTCAGAGAAATATGCAAATGAAGATATTTTGAACAAATGCACGTTATTCCCATACAGAAGCTTTACCAATACTTAGTTTATTATTTTAGCATTGATTCATTTGCTTGTTCAAGAACTTCATATAAATGAGTTCATTCAACATGTACATTTTTGTGTAAGGCTTTTTTCACTCGGCAGAATGCTTTAGGATTGTCTTATTTAGTCATATTTTTTTCAAGACTAAAATAAAGCTAACACCAGCAAGCCTTTAATGAAGTCCTCCCTGTGCTTACAAAAATGGCATTACTTAAATCTGTCGTCTCAGAAAAACACTAACAATGAAATCCCGGCCTCATCTCAGGATAAATACAATTTTTATTCAAGAGACCAAGCACTAGGAGAACATGTAATTAGGAATTTTACACAAATCATTATGATGCTGAAAAGTATCAACCCATTTCTGTTTTGGTCTGAGCCCTGAGGAATTGCATCCAGGAGTTCGCTCTGGAGTCAAAGGTGCAGTGTTCTCTCAGAAGTCAGTGAGAGCTTCTGCTTAGTTCAGCCCTGTGAAGAATGGAGCGAAACCAGATACAGGCAGATTCCCATCATTTGTCCATTAAAAAAAAATAACAAAAAAACATGCATATGGTTCCAATGATGGGTACTGAATCTTCTGCCTGGATATTTTATCTTTTCTTATTTATAGTGTAAAGTATCACATTATTTAAAAGCAGCACGATACACTTAAAATACTGCAAGTCCTGTTTTCCAGATAAAACTGCAATCACAAAGGGGGTTGACAAAACTGAATTCTATTACTAAGCACTTGTATTTCAAGTTTCAAGTACTTCAAGTTTACTTTAAATGACCCGATGCAAATATATGATTTAAATATTTAAGTAAGAACTACAGAAGCTCTGCCAGGCTCCATCATTTAGTCTTGAAAGTTCCATTATTTCCAGACATCCCAAAGGAAGAGTCTGCCAAGAAATGGGAGGAACAGAAGGTCCTATCAAAAGGTGTCCTGCCAGGGAGATGACAAGACAGATATAATTTCAACACCATCCTAATTTGCTTTGCTGACCAGAAAGAGAAGATTCAGGCTTTCTCCATCAACAAAATCCTCCACAACTGAGAACTTTATTTTAAATCCTGTCAACTGAGTTCTCCTCCTACTCCCCATGTATGCCTGCATTTTCCAGATGCAAAATATTAGTTAAATTTTGAAAATGTTTTCTATGGGTTGTGGGGTGACTGTGACAAAAAGGGTACTTGGGAAATAAAGCTTATTTTTTTTTTACCTGTATGAAACTCATTTACAAATGTATTTTTAAAATTAAATTATGCCATTCTAGAATTTTTCAAAAGATTTAAAGTAGTCTAGTGCTGTAGGCTGGATATCAAAGTAGTTTCTTAAAGAATGTCAGACATTTCTGTTTTTGGAGCTACTTAAAACTAAGATTTTAGGACACATAAAACTAGGATTTCTCCAGGATTCGAATGATCCTAGTGCCTCAGCCTCTGGAGTAGCTGGGACTGCAGGAGTGGGCCACCACATCCAGCTAATTTTTCCCTGTGAATTTTGAAGTAATTTTATTAATAATGTTACTGGTGGAGAGTCTTGACTATGAGTCATCAGGTTCTTGTCATTTTAAACAAAGAATTGGACAATACACATGAACAAAGCAATGAAATAATGAAGCAACAAAAGCACAGGTTTATTAAAATGAAACTGCACTCCACAAAGTAGCAGCATGCTAGAGCAAGCAGCTTAGGAGCCAGTGTTTCAGAATTTTCTGAGGTTCAAATACCCTCTAGAGGTTTCTCATTGGTTACTTGATTACACCCTAGGTAAATGAAGACTTCACCCTCTACCAGTCTGATTGGCTGTGGGAGGGGCCAATCAGAGGTACATTCCATTTTTCATCTGACAAGACAGTGGAAGTGAGGGTGGTTGCAAAGGGGGGGTAGCCTTTGACACTTTTGTCACTTGGGTACGGATGGCTGGGGTTTTCCTTTTGATTCAGATTTAGGAAGTTAGAAGCCTTAGGTTTCCTGCCTCCAGACCCTATTCTCCTGGTTCAATAGCACACTAGACACTGAGCTTTAAGTTTTGTGCATTGTATCTTTCCCAGTATGTGTCAGGTTTTGGGGTCAGAACATCAACCGGCCTCTTAGAGATTTCATTCTAGCAAGGGAAATTCCCCATTATTATGATTATTATTTGAAGACACACAGTTACTGGTAGTACCTTAGTTAAGCAAATTTGTGAATTCTACACGTTCCCAAGTTTAAATAAATAAATAAATAAATAAATAAATAAAAACAAAGTATCTGTCAATCAGTTGAACCAAAGAGGAGCCAGATTATGAACTCCTTCTAGGTGCAAAACTAAAAGGTATAGACACAGCATTTAGTAGCACTCTTTCACAGGTTATCATAATTTGACAGAATATTGATTAAACAGTATTCATGAACTCAGACTTTATTAGAAAATCACCTTCTCCTTGATTATTTCTTTGTTGTGCTGCTCTAGTTTAACCTATTCCTGGTCACTTTCTTCAGTCCAGACTACTCACTGTTTCTGAATTTTTGGTGAATGTATGTGTATCACCTATTTAATAAGAAATGTTATTTTCTAGTATTTTAAGTTGCTATTTTGTATATTCCCCTTACCATAAACTAGGCTAAAATATCATCTTAGAATAAGTCAGCTGTCTGTTTTTCCCCCCAGCACTTACTAGAAATTCAATAAATACTTAAATGCGATTAAAAGACATTTAACATGACTATTTTCATTACATAATTGCAAATAAAATTTGAAAAATATAGCAAAGTTATAAGGAAGGAAAAAATTCTCTGATAGTTGAATTCCCCTTTGCTTCTAATATTTTCCTTACATATTCTCATTACACATTAAGTTTATAAAGTTGTTTTACTCTAAACATAATTCTGTTAACATTTTTAGAAATTTGCATATTTATAAAAGTATTTTAATGATTGCTTATTATATTTCAAAACATTTGCTTAATTTTTAGATTACTGTGCATTCATAATTTTATACCTTTCAGATGGAAGGTCTCTCTGTTAAGTAGTGGCCTCCTTTACTCTTAATAGCGACTTTTTTTTTGCATTTAAATTTATTTTGTTTGATAGGTACATGTAAATATATATTAACTTTCTTTGGTTAGTAATTGCCAAGTGTATTGGTTTCAGCCCTTTATTTCCAGCTCTCCTTTGACAATATGTCTTAGGTTCATCTCTTTGTGGATAATATACAACTGAATTTTATAATTTCAATTTTTATAATGTCTTTAACAAATTTATTATACAATATTTGATAAATGAAGAATATGTAATATATGTTTATTAATGTTTGTTATTTATATATTAAAATATGGTATTTATATTGTTTCAGTTAAATTTTTCAATCATTTTTAGAGCTTTTTGTCTTGAAACAATTTTGGTCTAATAAGAGTTGCAAAAGTAGTACTCAGATTTCCTGTATACATTCACTCAGCTTCCCCATATATTCCCAACTTACATAACCATAGTATAATTATTATAGACAGCAAATTAACTTTAATATATTAACTAATAATAACTCTTGTTTAAATTGTTCCCATTGTGTCACAAGTACCATTTTTTGTTGTTATTGATGTTGTTGCTTTTTGTCCAGAGTCCAATCCAGGATTACATTTCATTTAAATATGATTGTTCTATTCTCCTCTAGTATAAGATAGTTTCTTAATGTCATTTATGACTTAACACTTTTAGAGTCTGGTCAGTTATTTTGCAGAATGTCTCTCTGCTGCATTTACCTGATATTGTCTCAGTATTAGACTAAAGTTATGCCCTTTAAGCAAGAACATCACAGAAGTGATGTTTTGCCCTTTTCAGTCATCATGAGGTACGCTATGTAAATTGGTCTCACTACTGATGATTTTTAACTTTAGTCATTTGGATAAGGTAATGTCTCTCAGGCTTATCCACACCAAAATTATATTTTTTTCCTGTATAATTAATAATTATATTGTAAAGAGATCATTATTTGAGACTATGCAGATATGCTATCTCATCATATTTCCATTTGCTAATTTCAACCTCTTTTTGCCTGCAACCATTATTAATGTTGTGTTTTTCAAATGCTGTTTTTTATTTCCACTATTCTTTTTACATTTATAAATTGGATTTCTAACGTAAAGAGAATTTGTGTTTTCTTTGTTTGTTATTTATTTTTAGTTGATAGTAAATGTTTACTAATTTCTTTTTCAACTTCACTATTTTTTCAGCAATGGTTCATGAGTAAAACATTTTATCTTTGTTGGGATATATATATATATCTTTTTTTTAACAGTTTTTAATGATGATGTAAATAGATAAAAAATTTTATGAATAGTTTATGATATTTTATCTTAATTTGTTCTCATGACAGTGAATAAGTCTTATGAGACCTGACAGTTTTATAAAGGACAGTTCCCCTGCACATGCTCTCTTGCCTGCCACCTTGTAAGATGTGACTTTGTTCTTCTTTTGCCTTCTGCCATGATTTTGAGGACTCCCAAACCATGTGGAACTGTGAGTCAATTAAACCTCTTTCCTTTATAAATTACCCAGCATGCATATCTTTTTGTTAGTCATGTTAGAATGGACTAATATAACTGCTAAGGTGTATTGTCAGTATGACCTTCACAATTGGGATTTGTTTGCTGTTTTTCTCATGATCAAACTAGGCTGATGGCTTCTTAATAGGAAGGGCACAGAGATAAATTGCCGCTTTTGTCAGGGGTCCATATGATCCATATGTTAATTCCAATCTTGATTACCTAGCAGATGTAGGGTTTGTCAGATTTACTGTAAAGTTACTTTTTCCTCCTTGCCACATTCTATTGAGTGGAAGGAAGTCATTACATGCAGTCCATACTTAAGGAGCAGGGAGTGATGCTCCACTTCCTTGAGGGCATGAGGTCTTGCTAATTGTTTGGAATTCTTCTGCATGGGAAATTGACTGTTGTCCTGCATATGCTTATTTATTCAATTATTTATTGATATCAGTACAGACACATGAATATTTTTCTTATGCTTTTGGATATATGGCAATTTATTAGTACTTTATTTTGATGAGTAAATTAGCTCAGTTTGGCCAATGGAAATCTATTATTTGACTCCTGTGTCCTTTTCTTCCCTCCATTTTGTTTATTGTGGTAAAATACATGTAACGTACATTTAGCCTCTTAACCATTTTAAAGTTTACAATCCATTGGTATTAAATGCACGAATAATTTCACTACCATCCATCTTGATGCTTTTTTCATCTTCTAAAACTGAAACTTTGTGCCCATTAAATAATAGCTTCCTATGTCTTCCTCCCCTCAGTCCCTGGTAACCACAATTTTACTTCCTTGCTCTATGATTTTGACTGTTCTGAGTACCTCATATAAGTGAGATTATACAGTACTTGTCTATTTATGACTAGCCTATTTCATTCAGCATAGTATCTTCAAGGCTCATCCATGCTGTAGCATATGTTAGAATTTCTTCGTTAAAAAAGACTGAAGGATGTTCCATTGTATATTTACCATATTGTGAATATTAATTCATCTGTCAGCTGAACTATTTCAGACTCCCACCGACAGTCCACAAGGGTTCTAATTTCTCCCTCCTTTCAAACACTTGTTATTTTCGGTTTTTTGATAGTAGCCATCCTAATGAGTATGATGTGGCATTTCATTATAGTTTTGGTTTGCATTTCCCCAATGGTTTGTGATACTGGACATTTTTTTCAAAATAATTTGTTGGGTTTTTGCTTTGGATTGTATTAAATCTATAGATCAAATTGGGAACAAAATTGGCATCTTAACATATTTATTTTTTCTAATCTATGAGCATGGCATATTAAGATCTTGGATAAATATGCCATTAATATATTTAGACAATTTTTCTAATCCGTGACCATGGCATATTTAGATTAATTTAGATCTTCTTTTTTTCCTTCTTCAGTGTTTTGTAGTTTTGCACATATAGATATTATAAATAATTTTTATTTTACCTATATATTTCATTTTGGCATTATTATTATAAATAGCATTTTAAAAATTCAAATTTCAGTTTTTATTGCTTGTATTTAGTAGAATAATCGACTGCGTATATTTATCTCCTCTACTTTGACTGTTCCATACTTTTCCATAGCAAAGAGTTTTGTCAACTTTTTTTAGTTGGATAACCATGTCATCTACAAATAAAGAAAATTTTATTTTTCCTTTGCAACGCATATATATTTTACTTCTTTTTCTAAGTTTTATTGTACAGCTGGAATTTTTGTATGTTGGATAGGAGAGGTAAGAAAGGAAATTCTTGCCTTGCTTCTGATCATAGACAAAAAGTGAAGGTTCCTTGTCATTAAACACAGTGTTAGCATTACATATTTTGTAGATATTCTTTATCAAGTTAAGGAAATGCCTCTCTATCCTTAGTTGGCTTAAAGTTTCTATTATGAATGAATGGCAAATTTTGTCAAGTTACTTTATTGCCACCAATTAACTTGATTTTTCTTTAGCTTAATAATGTGAAGGTTTATATGAATTGATTTTTGAGTGTTTAACCAGTATTTTATACCTGTAATAAATCCCAGTTTGTTGTGATGTACAATATTTTTATGCATTATTGAATTTGATTTGCTAAGGTTTTGTTTGGGATTTTTTCG